AGTTGGCACGCTAAGTAAGTGGTTATCGAAACGGCTGGTTCGTCGCGTTTGAATGCCAATCGTTCTGTTCTTATAGTATTGCTATGCCTGCTCACTTTGACGGTCATCTTTCCACTGGTCGTGGTCTGCTTCTATAGGAAGCGCGACAAGATCCGGACAGCCTCGCCACCGCACGGCTACAACGGAGGTGTTTTCAAGGTAAGTTGGGAGAATTGAAAGTACTAGACCACATTTCCCAACGACACTGCTTCAGTCAATTTCACCATCCACTTATCAAATGGCCAGAGACAACATGGAAAATGCGCTGTTGGAAAAATGTCCCATGATCGTGATCTCGTCAGATTACGCCGAGCCTGTCTTCTCCAGGTGTGTCCTTCATCTTCCGATTCGATTGCGGCTATTAAGTTTGTTAGAGGGATTTCGGACATTTATTATTCAGCTATCGCGGCCCATGACTTTGAGCAAGTCGTTCAGAGTTCAGGAATTTTGGAGTGCAATTTGCTTCAATGGATTAAGCTCCCATGGTTCACCTGAATGCAGTCATTTTTAAGGGGGCACGGGATGATAAAGCATGCCTAACAATCGACGCAATCTTTTTTGGGTGTTTTTTCCCATTTGGGTCATTAAGTGACGTTAAGATGCGACTGGCCTGCTACAACAATTGTTGGGACACTTCGATGCTGTAATTGTCTTCAAGACCAGTTTTGGTCATCAATTAACGATAAGGGAGGGAAGGAAGCTCGGTTTCTTCGGTTGGCGTGTTGATTCGGGATTTGACTCCAGGGACATGAACGTGCGGGATTGCGCGACTGACCGCTATACCGCTTAAACTCCAACCATAACTTACATGACTAAGAATATATAATAGTATATCTTAACGACTCAGTTCTCTAAAAAGGTTAAAGATGCGAATTCCAGCTCAAGGGACAAATCATCACTAGAACCGTTGCTGAACTCTTTCCAATCAAGCCTGTTGTGATCGCAATGATGCCGGCAAGAAGGCGGCGCTCATTACCGGAGGTAAGCTATTTTAGTCTGAGGTTATTTATGTTTTGATTCTCTCCCTAACCCGGGAAAGTTCAGCCATTTGTAAATTGTGTTTAACAAGGTAAGGCGTAGCGCGATGACAGTTTTGTTTCAGTTCGCGATTCGAGGAACACTAACCAGGAAATGCTTTGAACTTCCCATGGAACTTTGAAAGGAGACCTAGATGACTCCATAGAGTCTTGAACGCTGATTACAAATATGGGGACATTAAAACTTGCTACGTGAACTTTATAAGAAGTTACGAGCATTCAAAGTGGCCAAACCAGTGACTGCGGGTTAGGCCTCCACCTGACTGGAAATTTCCGCTTCGCCGTGGCTCTGCGCTAAAAACGAGTATCAAATTCGTAATCAGGGCACCCACTAACCCTTATAGAACAAGAAACCAGACAAAAAGCATCCGTGATTTCATCAGGTGAGCTCGCCTCAGTAACGTTTTTTGCCAACTTTGAATGCTCGTAACTTTCTTATAAAGTTCACGTAGCAGTTTTAATGTCCATATTTGTACTCAGCGTCCGAAACTCTATCGATGTTCATAGGTCTCCTTTCAAAGTTCCATGGGAAGTCAAAAACATTTCCTGGTAAGAGTTTCGTTGGTTCCTGCCCATTTTTTGCCCATGAGAAAAAATCCGGGTTTCTCCAGGCAAGTTTATCCTCTTCATTTTCAAGTTCTGTCTTCATACACTCCCTTTACAGGAATCCGCTGTCGTCAGTCGCGAAATACTCAGATTATGGCGAAGTCTACTGTACGACTCTTCCGGAAATCAATCGCAATCAATGTTGTCTGAGAAATCGGTCAGGGTGAATTTGGCGAAGTGAGTCTGAGACCGCTTCGGATACCTACAGATCCACTCTCGAAATACACATTCAGGTGCACCGATGTCTTCTGGAATCTCGCCAGGTTGCCGTCAAGCGCCTTCACAGCACTACGCAAGACGACGAGATTGCGTTTCTACGCGAGATTAGAGTACTAGGTACCGTACCGAACTTCTATGACTCTCCAATTTACATGACTATGAGGCACTTTAGGGAATTTGAAAATCAGTGCTGTGGAGAGGTGATCGGAGTGTCAACGATCGACAAGCCCATGATTTGCATTCATGGAGTACATGGTCAACGGGGATTTGCGGTCGTACATGAGCAAATTGGAGAACGTCGAGTGAGTTTATTCGGAATGGCTACAAAACTTCTATTCAAGAAAGACGTTTTGTCGCCCACCTGGTTTCGAGGTCCATTCGCTTTTTTCAGTAAATGCTGCTATTGCATTTCCGTCCAGCACGCAATTGGCAGCCGGGCTGGCGTATTTGGAATCGTGCAATTTCGTTCACAGGTATGCAAAATTGAGTAGAAGTTTATCGACGAGTGAATAAACCACAGAATAATTCATTGCTTTCAGAGACATTGCAGGCTCGAAATTGCCTGGTGGATGAGGAAGGGAATGTGAAAATCGCTGATTTTGGAATGGCACGAAGTCTCTACTCGAACGACTACTATCGGGTCGAAGGACAGTTTGTTTTGCCTATCCGGTGGATGGCATGGGAGAGCTTGCTATTGGTAAGACGATGTTTTTACATAAGCTCGAATAGTCTGAAGGCTCAGGTAGCGCTTGTGAATCATGGAGCGTGGTCAGAGACTAATTGGTTATGTCTTTCTTGTTCTATTATTTTTTTAAAGACTCAAGTCCTTCGACCAATTAACCCCAGTTTGAGCTTGATGGAATACGGAGAGGACTTGAAGAATACGCATTACGGCCGTTATTACTGCCATCTTCAAATCGATCTCGGCTTCAGTCGAATTTGTCCGTACCAAAAATTTGGCTGGAAGTTAGTATGTCAGAGAAAGTACCGTTGCCATGGCAGCGCTTTCTGTGAACACGATATTGCAAGAGTTAGCGTAACGCGGCGTCCGCGCCACAGGCGCCGGCGCTATCACAACAGTTTTGCGCGGGCGCTCGTAGCGCAGGCTACAGGTTCACTCGTAACAAACTGATGTGATAATCATATTCTACGGGTCAAAATACCTCTGAGGACAACTTTCCAGCGAATTTGGGGATCCGAGATGTTCTGGCGCCTTTTTGGCGCCGGCGCTTCTGGCGCGAGCGCCAGGCGTTCTAGCGGTAAACGAATGTGATATTCGTGTTCTACGGGTCAAATTACCCCTAGGCAAGTTTCTAGCCAAATCCACAGTCATGACAAATTTCGATAAAAATCCGGCTCAGTTCTCGAGGAGTGGGGTCAGTAAAGGGTTAGCAGTGCCAGCAGATATACGATTCTGTTTAATTTTATTCTGTTCCAAACCCACCTAGAACTATAGGACTCACTGCCCTCAAATATCGCCACATTCCTTCTTGGGTATACCACATGGCTCATTCTGGACGAGAATACGACTTTCTAGCTTTTGTTTTGTCATTTAGACCAAAATAACAGCTCCTTTTTTCTGTTCCTCAAGTATTTGAATGCTTCAACTCCTCCATTTACAGTAGTAAAAATTCGGGAGGAACTTCCTGAATAGTAGCTTTTTTATTGAAAAATATTGTTTGCGCGATTCACTAGTTGTTTAAATCTTCTCCTATTTACTAGCGAGGAGTGCAGCGCGTCGCGTGATTTAGTGGACCTCTATGTTAATATTTAGGGCAAGTTCTCCACACACAGCGACGTGTGGGCTTTTGGTGTGACACTGTGGGAGATCTTCAGTCGATGTCGAGAAAAGCCGTTCGCGTTGCTGACTGACAATCAAGTTCTGGAGAATATACAGCACATGAGCACCACTTCCACCTTAAAGGTAATCTTTTTTCAACGAAGTTTTTCCACGATCCACGAGGTAATCCCAACCCTCTTTCAGCACCAACTGGAACGGCCACCGTTATGTCCAGAAAAGGTGTTCGCAAATGTAGTCGTCCCATGCTGGCTGTATGATCCACAAACGCGGCCCTCATTTGAGGCACTGCATTTGCAGCTTCAAAAGCTCATTCACACCAAGGTGACGTAAACGCGCCAACTGGCGCTGATCAAGCGCTCTTCGGCTCTCAGGACTCGTCTCTCCCGCAATACGGTTATACTCGATTTCCCGTCTCTCTTTCATTAACATATCGACTTCACTGGTTCTGTTCAGCTTTTATCACGATACGACGCTCATGCTGTTACGACCGATGATTTCGTTGTTTCTTTCCTGTTGTCTACGGTCTGTACATAATATAGCATTAAGCTCTAATAGCGACGGCTCAGGAATGCCGCATGGCTGGACGACCGACAAGCTTTCGCCAAAGCAAATGTTACAACTGACGCTTCCACGCTCGTTTGTGGGCTTGGTCAGCACGTTCATGAATCCAAGCGGCGAAGACAAGGCCTCCCTCTTTTTCCCATTTTTCGAAGCCCTACCGCGCTGCGTCTACGCTTACTCACAACTCACATTCAGACATTGCAAACAATCTTTGCAGCTGATTTCAACACAATATCTTCAACCATTTTGACGACATCCTAAGTCAGGTGCTGAGCAAGTGAACACCTTCCGCACTCCTAATCCTCCATCAAGAAAGCTATTATCATTGAACCGCCAACTATCTGGACTTCGACACTTCAATGGTAAATTTCTATCGAAGATTAATACTAGACGCTAGGTTATTGGGCACATTTTACATCATATTGGTACTAATTGGAGGAAAACCTGAAAACCTATTCAACCGCTGAACTATCCGAATTTTGGACCACTGCTAAATGTTCTTGAAGTTATGATAGGCAAGAGGAATGCGTTTGCGCACGACGGGCGCGTATTACTGCTTCAGTCCATGCAACCTATAAACACCATCTGACTCACTTTTCGGCGACAGTCTTACGCGGCACAAGTCCGTGTGTCCTAATACAATCCCCTTCGTAGGTTGTCACCTTATCGTGAATCGTACCGTGTGATGCATGGTATAGGGAACGCGGCGACAACTCTGAAAAAGCACCAGCAAAACGATCGGCGGTCTGAAGGTATCGGAGAGGCCGTGATGGTGCGAGCACTCGCGGGCGCGATCCGGCCACTGCGTAGCGCGGGGGTTTTTGCCTGCTCCCTTTCGGGCCTGAGCCGTGCACCCCTCCTTGACCGCCCGGGTTCCACCGCCCTCCGGCAGCAGAACCCTGGCGACGCAACGCTTGGCGCGGACGCCCGGTCGCCGTACACCGCAACCATCACGGGACTCCTCCCCTCACTCCATCCACACCAATCTACTGCCTAGAAGCTGGGCTCACAGGCGCCCGCCACGACGCCCAGTGGCCACGCAAGCGAATAGGCGCCACATGTGTTGGTGGTCGATCGAGTGTACATGAGAAATGAAGAGCGACCAGAGTCTCGCATTGGAGAAAAACCGTGAATTATCGCTGAGGCGCAGACAATGTGTTCACAGAGGTAGTGCTGAAAAAAAGAGAGCGGAGGAAAACGAAGCCAAGAAAAAGTGTGTGGCTGAGACGCAAGAGACAGTCAATTCTACAGGCTTTCGTGTAAGAACCGGTTGGGTGAAAATGTGCATACGAACTCGTCGTAATCACGCTTCTTCATGTTTACGGCGCCTCGGATAAGAGCGATCAGCTGGGCAACCCGACCAATTAATTGTGGTTATTTAGTTTAAAGGTTGAGGATGAGGTCATTCAGTGCTCTGGTCACGAACATGCCGTTGAAGTCAGAAACAATGAAAAAATCGCACAAACATGTTCACATGTGTTTTTTACGTAAGTTTCTAATGAATTCGCAGTATGAAATATCTGTGGTAGTAACGCGTAAATGAAAATTTCAATTACCTCTTCAGGTGGAGCTTCGACGAGAGCAGCCTTCTTGGAGCGAGAGAATGCAATCGTCAGCTGGCACAAAATACAATACTAGAGGGGCATTACCAAATCGATGGCTACCCTCACCTTTCGAGGTGCGGTGTCAAAACCTCGATTTATTCAGAAAGGGTAATTAGAGCTCCTGACGGGGTGTTACTCTCGCTCAGCGTAAGAACGGTCCGCTCATGTGGTGCGGAGTGGTCAATAATGGTACAGCAGTTTGCAAATCAAACGTTCAGAGGTCAAAGGGGGTTCTTCATCAAAAATCAAACCACAGATGACCAGTGGCGGGAGGTATGACGATTTACCTCCTGTCACCGCCTATTGAGAATGCAAAGAAAAGAGTAGACTTAATTTCTGACATCGGTCCTCTAAATCCACTGGCCATGTTCCAGACCATGTTAGGTCATCCCATCATCAAAAAAAGCTACGCGTAATATTGTTTTACGGAGTCGTTGTGATTAGTGAAATGCGTTTAGAACAGCCCTTTGCAGAGACCAGGTAATACTCACTTCACTTCCAAGTGACCTCTTTGACGCTGCTGTACTTCTTTTGTAAGCTTGGGGTGCCAGAAGGAAAGTGAAATGAAAAGTGAGGGTAGCCATCGATTGGTAATGCCCCTCTAGTATTGTATTTTGTGCCAGTTGACGATTGCATTCTCTCGCTCCAAGAAGGCTGCTCTCGTCGAAGCTTCACCTGAAGAGGTGATTGAAATTCTCATTTACAATTACTACACAAATTTTCAACTGCGAATTCATTAGAAACCTACGTAAAAAACACATGTGAACATGTTTGTGCGATTTTTTCATTGTTTCTGACTTCAACGGCATTGTTCGTGACCAGAGCACTGAATGACCTCATCCTCAACCTTTAACCTAAATAACCACAATAATTGGTCGGGCTGCCCAGTTGATCGCTCTTATCCGAGGCGCCGTAAACATGAAGAAGCGTGATTACGACGAGTTCGTATGCACATTTTCACCCAACCGGTTCTTACACGAAAGCCTGTAGAATTGACTGTTTCTTCGTCTTAGCCACACACTTTTTCTTGGCTTCGTTTTCCTCCGCTCTCTTTTTTTCAGCACTACCTCTGTGAACACATTGTCTGCGCCTCAGCGATAATTCACGGTTTTTTCCAATGCGAGACTCTGGTCGCTCTTCATTTCTCATGTACACTCGATCGACCACCAACACATGTGGCGCCTATTCGCTTGCGTGGCCACTGGGCGTCGTGGCGGGCGCCTGTGAGCCAGCTTCTAGGCAGTAGATTGGTGTGGATGGAGTGAGGGGAGGAGTCCCGTGATGGTTGCGGTGTACGGCGACCGGGCGTCCGCGCCAAGCGTTGCGTCGCCAGGGTTCTGCTGCCGGAGGGCGGTGGAACCCGGGCGGTCAAGGAGGGGTGCACGGCTCAGGCCCGAAAGGGAGCAGGCAAAAACCCCCGCGCTACGCAGTGGCCGGATCGCGCCCGCGAGTGCTCGCACCATCACGGCCTCTCCGATACCTTCAGACCGCCGATCGCTTTTGCTGGTGCTTTTTTCTGCAGTTTGTCTAGCCCGTCCTGGGTGTGTGGCGTTTGTCCTCCTGGGGTCAGGCTGCCGCCGCACGCGGCGATCGGGCTCGCCGCGTGTGCGGCGATTCTGCGATGTGGAGGTTTTATTGGTCCAAGCTATTGTCCACTGTTGCAGCCCTTTAATTTGGGTGTCGAGTGACAAGACAGTGAGTTCATATGCGTTGTTGTCGTTATTCTTTTCGAACTCATCTGCTCACTCTTTTGCTCAATGAGCCATTTCAGAGGAGATAATAACGTTGTTATCATAAATCTGCCCTACAATTTAAACTCGAATGGGTTTAGTTTTTTTTTATCTCTCTGGTCGCATTTGTTCCGAATTTTTGACTTTATAGATTGAATAGCTACGGTATTATCCTAACTACCCGTTTTGCAAATTCCGGTCATGTTGTCAAGAATCTGCAACGCACGCTTTAGCCTTAATTATCAAGAATCACTTTTTTGTTATGTGTTACTAGATTTTTGAAAAAAAAGTGGAGGAAAGCATACTGCAGACTGTTGAAGCAAAGGAAATTGTTAAGGGAGCTCAACGAAATTTCGAATGTGCAGAAGATTTCAAAGTTGTTGGTATTTCCTAGTCTCGACGGAAACTTCTGCTGTATTTTAATTTGTTAATATTTAGTTGGTGTATCTTTTTTCAATAGGCATACACATTTGAGGAGTCAGTGAGTTGAACCCTTCCGCCGTTATAATTGTGGGCTGATCGTTGTTATAATTAAGTATTGGATTGGTGGTTTGGTTTCTTTTTTGCCGTAGCCGTGCCGTTTTTTTAGCCACTGTACTAGTGAATCGTTTTCTCAGTGTTCATACAAAAGTTCGTAGTTGTTCGACAAAAATGCTCTGTGTCATGATTGTTACGATATTTTGTGTTGTCGGTAAAACTAGATTCCTTTCAGGGAATGTCATCGCAGAGGAACCGGCCGGTGGAAGAAAATGTATCTAGAGTGGAATTCGTCTTCAGACGAAACGTCTCACTAGGTAGTCCACTTCAGAAATCTTTGTTTCCATATTTTGAAATTGATTTCACGTTATTGTTTTTGGTATCAGGGGATCCAGTTCTTCATGTTCAACTTTATATATGGTGCATTGGTACTCCCGACGACCGTTTACCATGACACATCACGAATGGTGGAGAAAAGGCATCATTCAGTGAGCTGTTTACAAGAAGCTGAAGTTGGGTCGCATGTGTCTGCAGACATCGTGTGAACCTGCTTTGGTGAGTCGTTACTAGTTTTGTATTGAATTCGAAGGGCGAAAAGTTGTGAGTGATTGCTTTCTTCTTCTATTACAACAAATTTCAGGTCACAAAGGGTTCTTCCACCACTAAATGGTAGATCACTAAGCGACTTCCGCCTGCTCACTGTTAATGTCTGTGGCTCCTATGCAAAGGTATGCGTAGTGATGTTCACAAGTTTACATTTCATAAGCCTACATTATTAAGTTGTTCTCTATTTTAGTAGCATTTGATCTTTTTGTGCTTTGGATCTTCTTATGCTACGTTTTCCTTAACTCAATGATTTTAATCATAGAGGCAATTTCATATTTGTCATTATTACAGACGGAATCACGACTTTTCTTCGTCATTGATTTGGCATTTCCTCCAGGCCCTCCAAGATTTTTGAGCGGGTGAATGCTTCATTCATCAACTCTGAAGTGTCAAACTCGTGCCATCCACATACAATGAAATTAACCACTCCTCGAATTTCCTTCTTTAGACCAGGCCAAGGTTTCGAGCGGAACTCAAAAAGGTCATTCACTTACTTTTTGAGAAGTTCTTTTTAGCCATATTTCAGCAGTAAATTTTTTTTCTTATACAGCCATATCCCTTATACGTAAGTGAAGTCCCCAATCCAGACATCACACATTCATTCAGGTACGGTCTGTGAGGCACGTGACCCCCATAGGAATCGAACACAGTGCCGAAGCCCACAGGGGGTATACAGACGCCGAGCCAATTGGGGTCGCCAGAAGGCAGTCGCTATTTGTAACCTTAGGGTAGCAGTATCGAATTAGGTCACAAGAAGGGTGGAACTGTTTGCCCACAGAAAGTCAGTTGTCTGAGACAATGCCTTCCGAAACTGCTGATTGCAACGAACCCGACAGCCCTCGTCAGGGCTTTCCACGATATGATGTGTCGAGGTACCCGGCTTTGATAGCCGCGTTGACCGCTCTAGAGGTAGGTAGGACTTTGTGTATGCACTTAAAAACAGTATAGTTGCAAAGAATGGTTTAGTGGTCCCCCGCGAGAAGCCGAGACATCTCTCCACGGCCGCGAAACCCTCCGGTCCCAGGTGAGCTACGAATTACGTCGTTCATCTAGGTTCACCTGAGTTTAGCCTCTTATGTGTACATTCCAGCTCATACCGGTGTTCACGGGCAAGATGCTGGTGGTCGCTTTCGTGGAGTGGCAGATCCAAGCAAACCCGGTGTGCATCCTGTATTGCGGTATGAGATCCCAGGTATCGCAGTGGTGTAGTATTACATTTCCTCTTTCATGTAGGCATGTAGTTGATAACCTTTTAGGTAGCCACTTGTGCTATACGTTTGCGCACCAGAAGTCTAACAATGGCTACGACTCTTATCGCTGCAGGGGATGTAGGAAAGAAGGCAGAAGCACGACAGTTGCTGTAAGACCTTGAGAGCCCTTTGCGCTTATATTCACTACTGTAATGGTGCTTTCATCGTTCTTCTTTACGGTACAGGATAATCGAAGGGAGCTTCTTCGTTGAGGATCCTTGCCGCCTGCCGCACGTCTGTGTACCATGGAAATCTGCGCAAGATGCGGCGACGCGCGTGGTATACGAGGTATGCCGGCTCCACTATAGGGTAACCACTGAAATGCGATCAAAAAATAAAGTGTTCAGAAGTGTCGGAACTTGTCAG